AAGAGGTTGATTGATGAAAGGAGGTTGTAGTTATATTATGGATGGTGGTAGTTGAGTGAGTAGGTGATGTCATGTGGTTGTGTGTAGTTGCTGAGTAGTACTAGTGGTGTAAGCACGGCAGTGCGTAGGTGTGATCGTAGGTGTAGAACGTCGAGTGGTATTGTGAGAGAGTATGTTAGGTAGGTGATGACGAGTAGCCGGAAGGTGAGGTGGAGTAGTGGCTAGTTGAGTGAGTAGGTGATGTCATGTGGTTGTGTGTAGTTGGTGAGTAGATGAAGTGGTGTGAGCACGGCAGTGCGTAGGTGTGAACGTAGGTGTAGAATGTCGAGTGGTATTGTTAGTGAGTATGTTAGGTAGGTGATGGCGAGTAGCCAGAAGGTGAGGTGGAGTAGTGGGTAGTGGAGTGAGTAGGTGAGTTGTCGAATAGAGTGAGTATTACATTACGGTTTGAAGTATGTGATGTCATGTGGTTGTGTGTGGGTGGTAAGTAGTACTAGTGGTGTGAGAACGGTAGTGTGTAGGTGTAGAACGTCGAGTGGTATTGTTAGTGTGTAGAGGAGGTAGGTGATGGCGATGAGCCAGAATGTTAGGAGGTAGAGTAAGAAGGGTTGGCGGATGCAAAGGAGGAAGAAGTTGATTTCGTCGAGGAGTTTTCTAAATAACTCACTTTGAAAAAGTAACTTTTGAAGTTCAATGCAAAAGTCTTTGCATTTACGGAGCTTTTTGGTTTGGTTTGATGGTTGTCCATTTAAAGCAGAGTGTTTGTAGTATACGAAGCCGTATTTGAAGAAAAGGGGTAGGACGTCACCGCATTGGACGATGGTAGGACAGTGACATTTGGTGCCATGTTCACCTGTATTGTGGTCACAGTGTTGCTTACAACCATGGTCCGTGTTACATTGAATATCATTAAACCTTTGTAGTAACTCTTCAAGACCTTCTTTGAGGACATCCGTGAGATAAACAATAAGTGATAGATAGGACATAGCGAAAGTTGTAGAAATATTACAATAGATACTATAGGAGAGCGATTGGAGGTACTTGCCACAGGTTTGGGGAGTTTTGCATTCACTGTTGTAGAGGCTGCGGAGGTCGGCGGGTTTGTGAGACTTCTCGGTATGTTTTTCGCCAACTAGGCTTTTGAAAGCGGTAGTAAACTTTTGCGATTCAGCATTGCACACTCCGGGGAAATCATTCATTTTTTGTTTGATTTCAGTAGCGACACCAGGATACGAGACATACCCAACATAGAGGAAGAAAGAGAAAAGATCGCCGACTGTACGGGGGGTACGTAAGCTGGTGCATATTAGACATATGATTATGTTGTATAAACTGACGGAGTTACGGTCATTTTTGTCTTGAGTGAAGTAATTTAGTATCCAAAAGATATAGTGACCTGTTCGATCTTTTACTTTATCGAGACACTGACGAAATCCCATGGGTACTGGGCAATATTGACCTTGGGGGCGGTGGGAGGCATGGTCGGTGTAAGGTGGATATTTTTTGGTTTCACGGGATTTTGGACATTTAAAAGGTGTAAGAAGGTCACATAAGAAAGCTTGGAGGGGGGAGGGGGTGCCATTGGTACCGCAATTTTTGGTGTGGATTGAAGGCGTAGTTGATGACATTGTGGAGTGAGTAGGTGAGGTGTCGAATAGAGTGAGTATGAGATTACGGTTGGAAGTATGTCATCTCATGTGGTTGTGTGTAGTTGGTAAGTAGTACCAGTGGTGTGAGCACGGCAGTGCGTAGGTGTAGAACGTATGTGTAGAACGTCGAGTGGTATCGTGAGAGAGTATGTTAGGTAGATGATGGCGAGTAGCCAGAAGGTGAGGAGGTAGAGTGGGTAGTGGAGTGAGTAGGTGAGGTGTCGAATAGAGTGACTATTAGATTACGATTTGAAGTACAATGTAGTAGGTGCGGGTATCTTGTCGGCGAGTAGATGCAGTGGTAGTAGGTGATGCGTGTATGAGAGGCGCCAATGCGAGAGGATGTGGAGGAGGTTTAGAGGGAAGAGTAGTGTGTAGAGGAGGTAGGTGATGGCGAATAGCCAGGAGGTGACGAAGAGGTTGATAGCTGAGAGGAGGTTGTAGTTATATGATGGATGGTAGTAGTTGAGTGAATAGGTGATGTCATGTGGTTGTGTGTAGTTGGTGAGTAGTACTAGTGGTGTGAGCACGGCAGTGTGTAGGTGTGAACGTAGGTGTAGAATGTCGAGTGGTATTGTTAGTGAGTATGTTAGGTAGGTGATGGCGAATAGCCAGAAGGTGACGAAGAGGTTGATAGCTGATAAAAGGTTGTAGTTATATGATGGATGGTAGTAGTGGAGTGAGTAGGTGATATCATGTGGTGGTGTGTAGTTGGTGAGTAGTACTAGTGGTGATATCACGGCAGTGCGTAGGTGTGACAGTAGGTGTAGAACATCGAGTGGTATTGTTAGTGAGTATGTTAGGTAGGTGATGGTGAGTAGCCAGAAGGTGACGAAGAGGTTGATAGCTGAGAGGAGGTTGTAGTTATATGATCACCTCTTGTCATCATTAACTATCGTGTGTTGTACTACCCATAGGTAGTGCCGTGACTAATTAAATACATTAGTTCAATCACTTGTCGATGTCACACTCGTTCTGTTTAGAGTGCCAGTAGCGATAGTGTCATAATAGATTGTATCCAACCTCGGCGTCTTCCGCCTTAACACAACAACAGACTTCACCTACGGTTCTATTTGTATGTCTTCATCTTCACTACGATGTCTACCATGTAGTGTGTTTCTCCACACATCTTCGATGGGGTAGGTAGCCACACACTTTATCTGAATATCTGTGCCGTGCATGCGGAAGGGGGTGTAGAACACGAAATTTTTGTGAAACCATCAATCTGCCTAATACATACTAATATTGATTTGATGACATTAGATTGATATGTGATGACATCTTACGGTGTGAAATATCCAACCTTTGTTGGTGACATTGCCTTGTGTGATAATAAGGCCAACACCGATATTTGATGTGACAAAGCACGTCTCCAATGTGAACGGATGTGGAAGAGGTCCAGAGGTATTGTTAGTCCGTAAGTGAAGTATAGAATGGCTACAAGCCAGAAGGTGAGGAGGTATAGGAGGAAGGGTTTGCGGATGCAAAGGAGGAGTGCGTTGATGGCATCGAGAAGATTTTTGAAGAGGCCACCGTCGGCGATGACTGCTTGGAGTTGTTGGGAGAATTGGGAGCATTTGCGGAGCCACTCGGGTTTGGGTTCTTTGCCACCTTTTCCATTTAAGGCAGAGTAGTTGTAGTATACGAAACCGTAACGGTAAAATGTGGGTAGGACGTCAGCGCATTGGACGATGGTGGGACAGAGACATTTGTCTTCGTTGCCAACGTTAATGTGACAATTCTTGTTGGATTTGCATCCATTCGAGACACAATTTTCGCAACTGATATTGTTGAACTCTGTAAGTAATAGTTCAAGACCATCTTTGAGGACATCCGTGAGATAAATTATCCATTTCAAATAAGTATCCGCGAAGGATGCTGAGATGTTGGAATAGATACTATAGGAGAGCGATTGGAGGTACTTGCCGCAGGTTTTGCCTGCAGTGCAATTGCTGTCGTAGAGGCTGCGGAGGGTGGCCTCAGGAGTGTGAGAGCGACTGTTATGGTATTCAGCTAGTTTCTTGGCTGCGTTGATCATGGCATTGGTATCGGGAGTTTGGGGCATGTCTTGACTTGCAGTTTCAATGGCTTTAGCGACACTAGGGGAACTACCACCATTCTCATCCTTCTCACCAATAGAGAAGAAAAACCCAGCACAGAGGAAGAAAGCAAAGAGGTCACCGACTGTACGGGGAGTACGTAACCCGGTGCACATGAGACATATGATTGTGTTGTAGAGAGTGACGGAGTTACGGTCACTTTGGGTGAAGTAAACTAGTATCCAATAGATACAGTCACCAGTGCGAGGA